TCGCTAGCGAAACCACCGAACTACGACGCATCCGGGCACGAAAAAAAGACAAAGACCTTGCTCCCGTTGTGAAAGTAATCGCGACCGAGCTATTACGAGGAACGTGTGTCCTCTCACTTTCTGTATGCACGCCCGTACAATGAGCCGCTGGAGTCGGATTACACGAGAGGATTAATACCGTAAAAGGTAGCAGTGGCCATTAATTAGGAAGGTACCCAGGTACTTCGTACTGTGAAACGACTGAAACGAGGATAAACCTCGTATGAAGGCACAAAAAAATGCCTTCCCTTTTTTGGGGGATCGGCACGATCTTCTAGCCGTTATCTTTACAACCTTTGAAGACGGAGAACGGAACATCGATAAGATAGAAGCTTCGTGTTCAGTATTATGAGTACGTAATCAGTAGACTGGGGATCTTTATGTAATATCGAGTTTTCATCGACACAATGTAGTCTAAACAGAAATTTGCTTCCAATATTAAATGTTATAACAAGCACTCTGCTTTCGATATTTTATGCACTTTCTGCAGTTTTCTGTACTGACAAACATTACGTAAGATTTACGTAAATGCGTAAAAATCTGCAGTCTAATGATCAATCTTGAAGCTGATCATCAGAATTATTATATTTAACCAAGGAAGGAAATTTTCATATCTTTGGAGTTTTTTTATCTTATTAAATATTTCAACATTTTAAATTATAATATATAAACTTGAAAGGTAAAATTATCTGCAAATATCATTATTACTATTGTAATTTAATCGCGTATTTATATTTGTTTTATAACTATACGATTATTCTCCTTTTATATATGTATATAAAACATCAGTCACCACGTGTCATTGTAGAATGATCTGAATTTAAATCCCTAGTGATTTCCAATAAGGAGAATTGACGATAATTACATAGTATTTTGAAAATTAGAAAACGTTTAGCAACTTTCTTTCGACATACCGACCGTGGATAACGTCTGTAGTGAAACAGATATCTTCGTTAACACGGAATACTTCGATATCGACAGCGCCATCCTACGTACAGGTTCAGGAGTTTTATGCAAACGAATAAATTAAATCAGAAGTTTGCTGATAAAGGCACAGTTTATTTGAAAATATAGAAATTGAACAAATCACATCAAATACTATATTAGCAGGAATTTTGGTTAAGAAGTGTATTTCAGAAAATATTACATTCTAATCTAAAATACCTATAGTTATGTCAGGAAGGATCGAATTCTACGGAAAAAAAAAACTACGAAATTTTTATAACAATGCACTAATCTACTTGTACAATCAAGTACAAAATACATTTTAAAAGCTGCTCTACTATGTTACGATGATGTTATGTATTAGCTGATATCATCATGATCCTGGTGGCATTGTTGACATTGTTGTTGGTGGTGGTGTCGTTGCTACTGACGTTGTTGTTGATGCTGTCGTTGCTACTGTCGTTGTTGTCGTCGATGTATTCTGCATAATTGTAATAGGTAACAGAGTTGTTGCAGTAGGTGGCTCTGTAGTTTTATGAGGCAAATACAATTCAGGACATTTTACAGCACAGGCAAGATTCGCTATGTACGACATCGTTTCAAACGACGTGCAAAAATTCTGGCAAAAAGATCTTCGTATAGGTTCGAGCAAATTAAAGCCAAATCTTGGTTCCTCGATTCCTTCTTCAAGAATCTGTTCCTATGGCAAGAAGAGAACATCAATTAATATTTATTAAATTCTTTGAAATCTTAAGCAGCGGATTAAGCAGATTCTTCTTCTTTGAATATTTTAGCTTTTTAAGTTATTCCAATATATAACAGTTGAATTACTATTACGTTTCTGCCAACATATGCTCCCTCTATCCCAAATTATTTGTCACGTCTTTGGCGTGTAAATTAATTGTTCCAGAATAGCTGTCACTTATGTGAAAAAAAATGAAGTATAAATGACATTTGGTGAAAATGGAGAACTTCTTTGCTTGAACGGAAATTTTCAACAACATTTTAATCTTAAATAATACCTGCTAAACAAACAGTTTTTTAGCATTAATTTTTAATGACTTTGGATTTACATATAATACCATGTGGTAAGCGAGATTTTCATGTCTGAGTTCTTCTTTGTTCATGTGCATTAGCTTGTTAGTCTTAAATGACATCATTATGTTTGTATTATGTTAGGAAAATATTTTTCTTTTTGCATTTTTTTGGAAAACAATTTTCAATTTTCACTGCATTTTCTTTCGATAGTATTGTTTCTCCAGTTTATCACAACGTTGTAGCAATAATTGCAAAACAACATTACGTATATTTCTTATTCATTTCAGACTTTTTGACTTTAAATTTTTCAAATTATCATCTATAATTTCAATTCTATACGTACTTTTAAAATGACAATTATTGTTGACTTGAAGATATCTAATTATTGTTGTTCTGACATCAACCTACTTTGATAAATAAATGACAGTCGAGTGATTTTTTTTTTTTATCTAAATATTTAGATATTAAATAAAATGAGCCATACTAATAGTCAGACCAAAAATATACAAAAGTGACAAATAATTTGGGACGGAGGGAGTTTACTTTTTAATTTCACGTCACGGCTGTCTGATAATTAAAAGAACACTTTATATATTTAACTCTTCTTACGTGTTAAAACTAATTGGATAATTATAAAAATAAGCTTAGCTTTAATAAAACTAAATCTTCTTTCGAAGAAAATCTATTTCTATTATCCAAAAAAACTCAACGATGGATTATAGAATTTTTCTGCAAAACTACAATTGTCCATGATCTAATAGAAATTATTCTTGGCTACGTAATCAAGCTGTCGAAACGCGAAAACCGTGGGCAGGTCTAACCTGTGACCAAACAGATCCGATCAATATGAGCAAAGCAGCAATCCATGCGGTGAGACGCGACATAACGAACTGATTGTTTAACCGCGAAACTGACACCAGGCAACATTTTCGAACAGAAATTTCCTCTCGCCTTATATACGTAGTCCGAGAGACGATGGATCGTTAAAGATTCAAGCTTGTCCTATTCTCCGATCTTTTTTTCAATGATATCTCTCTTTGAAATTCATGGACGTCCCACATGACGGACACACGCGTCGTTATCGCGATTCTTTGTTTGCTAAACGCGAGAACAAGTGATTTGCGCAGAATTAACGCGATATGCCGCGACGATATTTCGTGGAAACGAACATTCATTAAAACGAAAGGGAATCTATCAAGTTATTTTATATTAATTCCCCAGTCGATATAAACTCGTGGCTCGTGTTTATCAAGGAACAGAAGTTGGGAGAATATTTCTGATAATTGTAGTAGCGTTGCTTCGAGTCATTGTTCAGTTCTACCTAGTATGCAAATGAAATATTGCGCGCGTGACTGAAGAATGAGAAAAAGAGGATGCCGATGAGTCGCGTGTTAACGTCGAACGACATCGAAATCCATTACATTTGCGCGTCCATCGGTACTCGAATCTGTGGTCACGTTTGTTAATTATCATATCAAAAGCAAGGGGGGATCCCAAGGGTGATATTTTCCATACCTTGCCTAATTATATGCAACCTGCTTTGCATCTGCGTGCACCGTCAGCTCGATAGCCCTACCCCATTGTCTCGGTTAATTAAATTGTGCACGAAAAGAAAGGACGCGGAATATTAATTGAAATTTTTCTCGAATCGTATAAATCGCGAAGTCACTCGCGGCACGCCGATAAAAATAAACATTATCTAGACATAGTATTGGACAGTTTAAAAAAAAAAAGTTTTGAAATGCTATAGCATTGTCCGTGTACTTGGCTCTAAAGTTTTCTCACCGAGGACGTGATCGGAGAATTTATTTCTTATTTTTAAAAACAATCTTTCTCGATGAAACTTATAATCAATTTTCCGTTGGCTTCCATTTTCTTCGAAACAGTTAATCAATGACCAACAGCACTAAAATTGTTGCCCATCCATTTCGCTGGTAGTGCGTCGATCAGAGTTGTATCGATTTTTCCCATACGATGAGAAGCGAACAAGCGAGGATCCGAGAGTGCATACAAGACGTTGATTATAACGGGGTTGCGCTTATGACCTTTCACGCAGGGTTGCTTAAAGTTACGTCAATGGTGTGCATTGTACGAGAGAGCTGACTGGTTGGAAGGCAATAGACACCACGTGATCCTGCTACCAATGACGCCGGGGAATACCAACGGGTCGATAACAATGAGACCGACAACCAAGCCTCGGGAATACTCTCTTCACCTCGGTTTATCGATCTGGCCTTGTATTTCCTATCATTTTCCTTCGATGCAACATCATTGCCCTCCATTCTGTTATCTAATCTTCCGCAATCCTTCATCGACAACTTTTTCTTCGTCCACACCACACACTGGGATTTTTTACACCAGGCTAGTGGAATTCTAGGTGTCTGTTATTTTAATGGAATGATTCACGTTTTACGCAGATCAAAGCTCGTTGTTCTTGATTTGATGGTAACAGAAGAGGTTTATATACATTTGAACTTTGACAAAATCTTGCAAAAAAAAAA